CCTGGGGGGGGGCTGGGCTGGGGGAGCCCCGGGACCCCGACCCGGCCTGGGGGGGCTCTGGTTTGGGGCCTGGTTCAGCATTTCGGGGTCCTAATTTGGCATTTTGGGGTCCTAATTTGGCATTTTGGGGTCTCAGTTCAGCTCCTAAAATCCTAATTTGGCATTTTGGGGTCCAAGTTTGGCATTTTGGGGTCCCAGTTCAGCTCCTGAGACCCTAATTCAGCCTTTTGGGGTCCGAGTTCAGCCCTTTGGGGTCCCCATTCAGCATTTTGGGGTCCCAGTTCACCTCCTGGGAGCCTAATTCAGCATTTTGGGATCCAAATTCAGCTTTTTGGGGTCTTAGTTCAGCCCTTTGGGGTCAAATTCAGTTCCTGAGATCCTAATTTGGCATTTTGGGGTCTCAGTTCAGCTCCTAAAATCCTAATTTGGCATTTTGGGGTCTCAGTTCAGCTCCTAAAATCCTAATTTGGCATTTTGGGGTCCTAGTTCAGCCATTTGGGGTCCTAATTCGGCCATTTGGGGTCCCAGTTCAGCTTTTTGGGGTCCCAATTCAGCATTTTGGGGTCCAAGTTTGGCATTTTGGGGTCCCAGTTCAGCTCCTGAGACCCTAATTCAGCCTTTTGGGGTCCGAGTTCAGCCCTTTGGGGTCCCCATTCAGCATTTTGGGGTCCCAGTTCACCTCCTGGGAGCCTAATTCAGCATTTTGGGATCCAAATTCAGCTTTTTGGGGTCTTAGTTCGGCCCTTTGGGGTCAAATTCAGCTCCTGAGATCCCGATTCTGCATTTTGGGGTCTAAATTTGGCATTTTGGGGTCAAATTCAACTCCTGAGATCCTAATTCAGCTTTTTGGGGTCCCAGTTCAGCCTTTTGGGGTCCCAGTTCACCTCCTGAGAGCCTAATTCAGCATTTTGGGCTCCCAGTCCAGCCCCAGACCCCGCATTTCCCCCCCAGATCCCCTCCCAGAGCCCTCCTGACCCCCCCAGACCCCCCAAACTCTTTGGGGGGCGGGGGTGCCCAGGCGGGGGCTCAGCGCCTTCCCCCCCCAGCCCATGGAGATCTTCGTGGACGACGAGACGAAGCTGACGCTGCACGGCCTGCAGCAGTACTACGTCAAGCTCAAGGACAACGAGAAGAACAGGAAGCTCTTCGACCTGCTTGACGTGCTCGAGTTCAACCAGGTGTGGGGAGCGCCCCGAAATCTGCCCCAAAACCCACCCCAAAAATCCCGGGGGAGCCCCCGAAATCCCCCCGGAAAATCCCCCTGGAATCTGCCCCAAAACCCACCCCAAAAATCCCGGGGGAGCCCCCAAAATTCACCCTGAAAATCCCCCCGAAATCTGCCCCAGGATCCACCCCAAAATCCCGGGGGAGCCCCTGAAATCCGCCCCAAAATCCCCCGGGTATCTGCCCTGAAATCCACCCCAAAATCCCGGGGGAGCCCCTGAAATCCACCCTGAAAATCCCCCTGGAATCTGCCCTGAAATCCACCCCAAAAATCCCAGGGGAGCCCCTGAAATCCGCCCCAAAATCCCCCTGAAGTCTGCCCTGAAATCCACCCCAAAATCCCAGGGGAGCCCCCAAAATCCACCTCAAAATCCCAGGGGAGCCCCTGAAATCCGCCCTGAAAATCCCCCTGAAATCTGCCCCAGGATCCGCCCCAAAATCCCAGGGGAGCCCCCAAAATCCCCCTGAAATCTGCCCCAGGATCCACCCCCAAAATCCCAGGGGAGCCCTTAAAATCCACCCCAAAAATCCCCCTGAAATCTGCCCCAAAATCCACCTTGAAATGCCAGGGAAGTCCTCAAATTCCACCCTGAAATCCATCCCAAAGTCCACCCCCAGAATCCCAGCGGAGCCCCCAAAATCAACCTCAAAATCCCCCTGAAATCTGCCCCAGAATTCACCCCAAAATCCCAGGGGAGCTCCCAAAATTCACCCCAAAATCCCCCCCAAAATCCCCCCAAACCTGGCGGGGACCCCCCAAAATCCCGGGCAGGGAACGGAGGGGCTGGGGCGGGGTTTGGGTGGGATTTTGGGGGTGATCCTGGTTCTGGGAGGGGGTTTTGGGGTGCCTGGGGGGTTTTGGGGTGCCCTGACCCCCCGTTTTTGGGGCCCCCCAGGTGGTGATCTTCGTCAAGTCCGTGCAGCGCTGCATCGCCCTGGCCCAGCTGCTGGTGGAGCAGAACTTCCCGGCCATCGCCATCCACCGGGGCATGCCGCAGGAGGAGAGGTGAGGACCCCCGAAATCACCCCAAAAACACCCTAAAAATACCCCAAAATAACCCCAAAAACAGCCCCAAAATAGCCCTAAGAACAGCCCCAAAATAACCCCAAAACAACCCCAAAATAACCCTGAGCCCCGGCCATCGCCATCCACCGGGGCATGCCGCAGGAGGAGAGGTGGGGACCCCAAAAACACCCCAAAAACACCCTGAAAATACCCTAAAATAACCCCAAAACAGCCCTAAGAACAGCTCCAAAATAACCCCAAAATAACCCCAAACCAGCCCCTGAGCCCCGGCCATCGCCATCCACCGGGGCATGCCGCAGGAGGAGAGGTGGGGAACCCTGAAATCACCCCAAAACAACCCCAAAGTAAACCCAGAACACCCCCTGAACGCCCTGCAAAACACCCCTGAACCCCCCAAAAACCCCACAAACCACCCCTGAACCCCAAAACACCCCCCGTGCCCCACAAAACACCCCTGAGACCCCAAAACACTCCCTAAAACACCCCTGAACCCCCAAAAAAACCCACAAACCACCCCTGAGACCTCCAAAACATCCCCTAAAACACCCGTGACTCCCCTGAGACCCCCAAAACGCCCCCTGAATGACACCTAAAACACCCCTGAACCCCCCAAAAAACCCCACAAACCACCCCCGAGACCCCCAAAGCACCCCTGAGACCCCCAAAACACCCCACATTTCCCCAAAAATCCCACAAATCCACCCAAAAATTGCAACAAAATCCACCCCAAAATCCACAAAAATCCCCCCCAAAATCCCCCAAAAATCCCCCAAAAATCCCCCTCAAAATCCCCCCCAAAATTCTCAATTTTCACCCGAAAATCCTCCCCATAAATCTCAATTTTCACCCCAAAATTTAGAATTTGTACCCCAAAATCCCACCCAAAACCCTCCAAACCCACCTCGAAATTTGGAATTTTCACCCCAAAATTACCCCCAAAATCTGCAATTTTCACTCCAAAACCCCCCCCAAAATTCTCAATTTCCACCCCAAAATTCCCCCCAAAATCCCCCCTTAAATCTTCAATTTTCACCCCAAAATCTTCAATTTTCACCCCAAATTTCTCAATTTTCCCCCCCAAACCCTCCCCTGAATCCTCAAATTCCTCCCCAAAATTTTCCCCCGAATTCTCCAATTCCACCCCAAAATCCCCCCCAAAATCCTCCATTTCCTCCCCAAAATTTCCCCCAAAATCCTGAAATTCCCCCCCAAAATCCCCCTCTGCATCTCCCCAAAAATCCCCCGAATTTTCCCCAAAATCCCCCCCAAAATCCTCCCCAAAATCCCCAAAAAAATCCCCAAAATCCTCAAAAAAATCCCCAAAATCCCCCAAAAATTCCCCAATTTTTTCCCGTCAATCCCCCCCAAAATCCTCAAGTTTTCCCCCAAAAACCCCCCACGCCCTGAAAATCCCCCTGAAATCTGCCCCAGGATCCGCCCCAAAATCCCAGGGGAGCCCCCAAAATCCACCTCAAAATCCCAGGGGAGCCCCTGAAATCCGCCCTGAAAATCCCCCTGAAATCTGCCCCAGGATCCGCCCCAAAATCCCAGGGGAGCCCCCAAAATCCACCTCAAAATCCCAGGGGAGCCCCTGAAATCCGCCCTGAAAATCCCCCTGAAATCTGCCCCAGGATCCGCCCCAAAATCCCAGGGGAGCCCCCAAAATCCACCTCAAAATCCCAGGGGAGCCCCTGAAATCCGCCCTGAAAATCCCCCTGAAATCTGCCCCAGGATCCGCCCCAAAATCCCAGGGGAGCCCCCAAAATCCACCTCAAAATCCCAGGGGAGCCCCTGAAATCCGCCCTGAAAATCCCCCTGAAATCTGCCCCAGGATCCGCCCCAAAATCCCAGGGGAGCCCCCAAAATCCACCTCAAAATCCCAGGGGAGCCCCTGAAATCCGCCCTGAAAATCCCCCTGAAATCTGCCCCAGGATCCGCCCCAAAATCCCAGGGGAGCCCCCAAAATCCACCTCAAAATCCCAGGGGAGCCCCTGAAATCCGCCCTGAAAATCCCCCTGAAATCTGCCCCAGGATCCGCCCCAAAATCCCAGGGGAGCCCCCAAAATCCACCTCAAAATCCCAGGGGAGCCCCTGAAATCCGCCCTGAAAATCCCCCTGAAATCTGCCCCAGGATCCGCCCCAAAATCCCAGGGGAGCCCCCAAAATCCACCTCAAAATCCCAGGGGAGCCCCTGAAATCCGCCCTGAAAATCCCCCTGAAATCTGCCCCAGGATCCGCCCCAAAATCCCAGGGGAGCCCCCAAAATCCACCTCAAAATCCCAGGGGAGCCCCTGAAATCCGCCCTGAAAATCCCCCTGAAATCTGCCCCAGGATCCGCCCCAAAATCCCAGGGGAGCCCCCAAAATCCACCTCAAAATCCCAGGGGAGCCCCTGAAATCCGCCCTGAAAATCCCCCTGAAATCTGCCCCAGGATCCGCCCCAAAATCCCAGGGGAGCCCCCAAAATCCACCTCAAAATCCCAGGGGAGCCCCTGAAATCCGCCCTGAAAATCCCCCTGAAATCTGCCCCAGGATCCACCCCAAAATCCCAGGGGAGCCCCCAAAATCCCCCTGAAATCTGCCCCAGGATCCACCCCCAAAATCCCAGGGGAGCCCTTAAAATCCACCCCAAAAATCCCCCTGAAATCTGCCCCAAAATCCACCTTGAAATGCCAGGGAAGTCCTCAAATTCCACCCTGAAATCCATCCCAAAATCCACCCCCAGAATCCCAGCGGAGCCCCCAAAATCAACCTCAAAATCCCCCTGAAATCTGCCCCAGAATTCACCCCAAAATCCCAGGGGAGCTCCCAAAATTCACCCCAAAATCCCCCCCAAAATCCCCCCAAACCTGGCGGGGACCCCCCAAAATCCCGGGCAGGGAACGGAGGGGCTGGGGCGGGGTTTGGGTGGGATTTTGGGGGTGATCCTGGTTCTGGGAGGGGGTTTTGGGGTGCCTGGGGGGTTTTGGGGTGCCCTGACCCCCCGTTTTTGGGGCCCCCCAGGTGGTGATCTTCGTCAAGTCCGTGCAGCGCTGCATCGCCCTGGCCCAGCTGCTGGTGGAGCAGAACTTCCCGGCCATCGCCATCCACCGGGGCATGCCGCAGGAGGAGAGGTGAGGACCCCCGAAATCACCCCAAAAACACCCTAAAAATACCCCAAAATAACCCCAAAAACAGCCCCAAAATAGCCCTAAGAACAGCCCCAAAATAACCCCAAAACAACCCCAAAATAACCCTGAGCCCCGGCCATCGCCATCCACCGGGGCATGCCGCAGGAGGAGAGGTGGGGACCCCCGAAATCACCCCAAAAACAGCCCTAAAACACCCCCCAAAACACCCCAAAAATACCGCAAAAACAGCCCCAAAATAACCCCAAACCAGCCCCTGAGCCCTGGCCATCGCCATCCACCGGGGCATGCCGCAGGAGGAGAGGTGGGGACCCCCGAAATCACCCCAAAAACACCCCGAAAATACCCCAAAATAACCCCAAAAACATCCCTAAAACCAGCCCTAAAACCAGCTCTAAAATAACCCCAAAACAGCCCCAAAATAACCCTGAGCCCCGGCCATCGCCATCCACCGGGGCATGCCGCAGGAGGAGAGGTGGGGACCCCAAAAACACCCCAAAAACACCCTGAAAATACCCTAAAATAACCCCAAAACAGCCCTAAGAACAGCTCCAAAATCCGCAAAAACAGCCCCAAAATAACCCCAAACCAGCCCCTGAGCCCCGGCCATCGCCATCCACCGGGGCATGCCGCAGGAGGAGAGGTGGGGACCCCAAAAACACCCCAAAAACACTCTGAAAATACCCCAAAATAACCCCAAAACCAGCCCTAAAACCAGCTCCAAAAGAACCCCAAAACAGCCCCAAAATAACCCTGAGCCCCGGCCATCGGCATCCACCGGGGCATGCCGCAGGAGGAGAGGTGGGGACCCCCGAAATCACCCCAAAAACACCCCAAAAATACCCCAAAATAACCCCAAAAACAGCCCCAAAATAGCCCTAAGAACAGCCCCAAAATAACCCCAAAACAACCCCAAAATAACCCTGAGCCCCGGCCATCGCCATCCACCGGGGCATGCCGCAGGAGGAGAGGTGGGGACCCCCGAAATCACCCCAAAAACACCCCAAAAATTCCCCAAAATAACCCCAAAAACAAGCCCTAAGAACAGCTCCAAAATAACCCCAAAATAACCCCAAACCAGCCCCTGAGCCCCGGCCATCGCCATCCACCGGGGCATGCCGCAGGAGGAGAGGTGGGGAACCCTGAAATCACCCCAAAACAACCCCAAAGTAAACCCAGAACACCCCCTGAACGCCCTGCAAAACACCCCTGAACCCCCCAAAAACCCCACAAACCACCCCTGAACCCCAAAACACCCCCCGTGCCCCACAAAACACCCCTGAGACCCCAAAACACTCCCTAAAACACCCCTGAACCCCCAAAAAAACCCACAAACCCCCCAGGCTGTCGCGGTACCAGCAGTTCAAGGACTTCCAGCGCCGCATCCTGGTGGCCACCAACCTCTTTGGGAGGGGCATGGACATCGAGAGGGTCAACATCGCCTTCAACTACGACATGCCCGAGGACTCGGACACCTACCTGCACCGGGTGGGGGTCCCGGGGGTCCTGGAGGGGGCTGAGGGGGTTTTGGGGGGTCCTGGATGGTTCTGAGGGGCTTCTGGAGGGTTTGGGAGGGGTCCTGGGGGGGTCTGAGGGGGTTTTGGGG